ACGAAATGCAAAAAAAAATGGCTGATGCCACGTAGAGTGGGAATCGATGATATGTGAAGCACAAATGAGAAATGTTGATATGTCACTTTAAAATAAGCACAAGGTTACGAGGTCAAGGTGAATGATGGCGTACATGACTTCCATGTCATGATTATCATGTTTGTATATGTTATTTACCTTCGGCATTATCCACGTCACGTGACACAAAATTTAGTATATGCGGAGCTAGCGAGACGACCGCGAACACTCTATGAGTGTGATATATTGTCAAGTTCTTACATGACACGCGTTCAGGATTATCATGTTCGCACCAACCATATATTTCGTCATCCATTGAAGTCACGTAGCACCAAATTTGGTATATGTGGAACTAGCAAAACGGCCGCAAGCGCATCATGAAGGGCCCTATATGCTCCAACGTAGTGTTGACGCGCGCACACGCTGGCCACAACGCCGCTACGTTAGCAAAACGCGAGCACTTTATAGTCTGACGCCAGGCGCGACCAGCGTCCGTCGGCTCGGCCCTACGGCAACCAGCGCGAAATGGTACGTGCTGCATTTCACGCCAATGCGTTGCCCAAACAACACTTCGTCTCCCTCTTTTCGTTACGGAGGGACGCTGGACGCGCTGAAACGCGCATGCGTCAAAGCAACGCAGCGCGGCGCGCACCTGTCTGTATATGGCAGGACCGGCGCCTGGCGTGGCAATTCCGGCGTTACGCGACGAAATAAACGCCGGCGAGCCCAAGAACCGCGTCGCGTGAAAATGTATTGGCGCCTTGACTGTGGCATGTAGTCATGTTCTCACATGACACGCATCTCATGAATATCATATTTGCACCAGTCACATACCTTCGCCATCCAATGGCGTCATGTAATACAAAATTTGGCATATGTGAAGCTAGCGAAACGGCCACGAGTGCATCCTTAGTGTGGCATGTAGTCAGTTGTTACAAGCCCCGCCGTGGTGGTCTAGTGGCTAAGGTACTCGGCTGCTGACCCACAGGTCGCGGGATCAAATTCCCACTGCGGCGGCTGCATTTCCAATGCAGGCAGAAATGTTGTAGGCCCGTGTGCTCAGATTTGGGTGCAAGTTAAAGAACCCCAGGTGGTCCAAATTTCTGGAGTCCTCCACTACGGCGTTTCGCATAATCATACGGTGGTTTTTAGGCGTTAAACTCCATATATCAATCAAATCAATCATATTGTTACATGACACGCATGTCGTGATTATCATGTTTGTGTGTGTTTATACCTACGTCGTCCGTTCACGTCACGTAATACGAAGTTTGGTACATGTGAAGCTAGCGAAACGGCCGCGAGCGCATCATGAGCGTGGCCTATAGTCATGTGTTTACATGACACGCATCCTATGATTATCATGTTTGTACCAGTCACATACCTTCGCCATTTATTCGCGTACCATAATACCAAGTTTCGTATATCTGATGACTGCGAAGCAACCACGAGCGCATCATGAGCGTGGCACGTAGTGATGCTGTTACATGACACGCATGTCATTATTTTCATGTTAGGGTCTGTCACATGTTTTCGCCGTGCAATCATGTCGTACCATGCCAGTTCCGCAACATCCCATGCGAACGAAACCACCGCAAGAGCGTCAAGACCATGAACCGTAAATCATGACGTTGGTGACGTACCTGAAATGCTTTTCATGTTACGACTAGTCAAATATGTTCTTCATACAGTCATGTTATGTCATACCAAGTTTGGTATCCTTTCTCTACGAGAATGTCAACTGCCATTTCACGATTTCACGGATGCACAGGAAGCGCTCTACACCCACAATCACAAGTACGTTATTCGGCGCTTGGATATCTTGAAAACAAAGTACGCGGGCCTTCTGAAATTTTCTCCGACAAATCGACCAACTCAAAGCGCGGAGCAAGCGTTGCTGTGTTTGTGAACCCATCCTTAAAGGTGACTTGAACAGTGCGGCTCCAGATCGTTGTTTTGTGAACCGCAGGTGAAAGCGTGACAATTAGGACAGCCTAAAGAAACAAGTTCGATAAAGTGCAGCAAGTCGCGCTTCTTTCAGACACAAAGGCTGCTCTGGAATGGCTGATACATGGGTTTGTTTTGGAGCAGAACACTCAGAGGAAACTGCAAATTTTAATGACTGGCACAACGTTGGTTAAATTTGAAGTTTCAATAGTTTCTTCACATGTGGGCATAGCGGGTCTGAGGTGGCTGCTGGACTTGCCCGGAGATACTTAGAACTTTCTCCAACGAAGAAGGGTCCCAGATACGACCAACTTTTACGAGAAGTTGTCAACAAGCATTTTCATTCGTTATGGTTGACACCGCACCAGCCTTGTGTGGCAGGAAGGCTAACAACAAAGGAGGCCGATATGTTACATGGCGCACAGATGGTGTCAGCGCATACACCAGCACGGTTCTAAAAGGACAGACTATGAGCGAAGCCATTTTGCCCAGCTTACAAGACCTGTGGTTATATGAAACATTATTTTGACAATCAAACTGTGGTTAAAAAAGAACGTCAATGTCAATTCGAAGAAGTACAAAGTTTAAGCCTGCCCCGCAGCAGTTCAAGGATATTTCGTTCACGTGCTTTTACTGAACCTCCAGGAAGTAGGTTTCGAGATTACTCTTGAAGTTTTCGGACACTAGAGACCTCACATGGTAGTGGTGCTGAGGGGTAGATTATAATTTGGTGTGGTGGGGTGACATAGGGGTTCGGGGCACCACTGCAAGCGGGAAGGCTCACAGGCCACTGGCTTAGGTAGGGTAGCATTGCGCTGCACGCAGCTTCCTAAAAGCTCGTCCGCATTGTACATCAAAAAGAACATATTAGTGTGATATGATCAGAAAAGAGGAAACTGCGTGGGTCAATTGCCTGCAAATTACGCAAAGCTACATCAACCGGCAACTTACAACATCATAAATTCCGATACTTTTTTTCCCTTTGCATGAATCCGGGACGTTCTAATTCACTTCACATTTCCTTCTTTCTACGAGCCCATTCACTCACTGCCTTGTTGGCGCAGGGCTCGTGATCACCTTCTTGTATTCAATAAAATTTTGCGGATATCCCTTGATAACTTCTATATCGTGAATACAAATTAGTAGAAATCTGAACATTTAATAAACTTCTACGTGTTTAGAGTGTCGGGCGACTCAGCCTTCATTTTAGTTTTGTTGGGGACACTTTTCACTACTCTTTTCCGCTTTGCACGATTCCTGAGAATTTAGAGTCTCACTGACACACCCAGACTCCAGAGAAACAATCGTCATCTCTATACGGAAAAATATTTCCCGTATAAAGCTCCCGTGGTAACAAATCGAGTGTCACTAGGCTACCACTAGTCGATTTTGGGAGAGCTGCCCTAACGGGCCTCAAAACAACAGTGCTCAAAGGCGGGACAATAGTTTTTTTCTCGTCTTCGCTGCCCTTACAAACACTATTCCCTCCTCATCCTCAATTTCTTCATGAAACGCATTTAGGCTCGGCTATAATTGTTGAGCGAGTCTGTATTTTGTGCTTTTAAATACCCGTGGCCATCTAGGCTTGCGCAGCCACAAACTCTGCAAAAGAAGTGAAATCAGTTTAACCGGCAAACTAATCCTGTGTGATCAGGCGTTCCGGGCAAGCGACTGCCTGTCAAAGCAGAGTATATGGCAGTTCTCAACAGATAGCTCTTTTATATAGGCCATTTTGGAGCTTATTTGGTCATCACGCCATTTAAACTAACAACTCACCGGAAGCGAACGTGTCGTTGACTGTAGGGCACTCTCTATTGCGTCCTCTAGGTGAGCTCATCTCGCCCTGATATGGAGATTGATCTCGAGAAACTCCGAGCGATTCGTCGTCGTGCAGAACGACGTTATAGACGCACGAGGTCACTTGATGATCTGAGAGTGCCCAGACGCACACAAAAGAAAATACAGCGTCACATGGACAAGTTGTAAAAGCAACGATGGGTATCTTTTTGCGAGTCTTTGGATCCCAGAAAGCCTCTGTCACTAATCTGGAGAACTGTCCGGGGTCTTCGTACAAGCATTACTCAGCGCTACCCATTAAAATCTCTGGCACTTCACTTACGCTGCGAAGAGATTGATGTCGCAGATTCTTTCTGTCGAAAGATTGCCTGAGGGTCAAATTCAACTGGGGCGAAGACGCCCGACTTTTCTGTATTCTCACGTGATCTCCGAATGGAGATTTGGTTTTCAATGGACGAACTAAAGGCTGCGCTTGCTTTGTGTAAACGTTCTTCAGCGGCAGGACCTGACGGCATCACTTACCGCGCTCTGTGTCACCTAGGAGATCAAGCTCGGAAGGCACTCTTGCAGCTGTACAACGACTCCTGGCAAACTGGTATGGTTCCACAGGAATGGAAGTCAAGTCGCCTGATTTCACTTCTCAAAGCCGGCAAGTCACCCTTGGACATTTCCTCTTACCGCCCGATTGCCCTCGCGAGCTGTGTGGGAAACGTTATGGAAAGAATGATTTTAACGCGTCTGGAATGGTACTTAGAGTTCTACGAAATATATCCAGATGCCATGTCCGGGTTCAGATGAGGCCGCTCGTCAATTGACAATGTAGTTGACTTGGTGACATATGTAGAACACCAGAAGGCCTGCAAACGGTTATGTGCTGCTCTGTTTCTTGACGTTAAAGGGGCATACGACAATGTCACACACGAAGCCATTCTCGGCGCACTAGAAGGAGTGGGACTCGGTGGCAGGATATATACGTGGGTTCAGAGCTACCTACAAAATAGATCATTTCACGTGCAGACAGAGAATGGTCCGACACTCGAGTATTACTGCAGCCGAGGAGTCCCGCAAGGCGGAGTGCTTGTTGGAAATTGTTTGAACCTCCCGCGCGAATAGCGCGCGCACCAAGAGACGGAGAACGACGAGGAAGAAGAAGAGACCAGCAAGGAAATAGAACACGCTCTTTTACCATGGATGCTGGCGTTTGCGTCTCCTTCATTTGGTGCCTTTAAACTCCGAAGCGTGGTTTTCCCACATCGATTTTTGAGATCCTGTTGCAGCAAGCGCACCTTTGATCGTTCTTGTTCCAACGCAGCATGCAGCTCGGTAACCTGTTGAGTCAATTCGTCCTTGACCTGAGTAACTTCCTCGAAATCCCGCAAGATCTCTGCTTTATCTTGCATTTCGCCTTGGGCCAGGATGTTGCATAGCTGTTTGTTGCGAAGCTTCACCACCTTCAGCTCGGCAGTCAGAGCTTCAATATGCTTCTTAAGTGCGGCTATCTGCTGGTCCTTCTTCTCCAGTTCATCCTGGAATTGCAATGTTCTGACCTGCTCTGCTAAGAAAGGCTGTTTGCTCTTTAGTTCTTCCATCCTTTGTTCTCGTGATAGGATATTTTTGGCATCTTTTACAACCTGCTCGAAGATAGCCTCCTTTGGTGGTGACAATTGTCTCTTCTCATTGTTTCTTAAGTCAGGAACTTCTCTGATCTCTGGTTCATACCCCAGCTCAACAGACGATGAAGCTCCGGCCAGCTGGTTGAACTCATCTAGAGACATCGTTGTCTTTTTGTCCTTTTTTGTTGTTGTGTTCTTCTTCTTGTTCTTACTGGCATTGCCACGGCTGCCTGGGGTGATCACATTTGCTATAGTAGCTTCTTTCTGCTGAGCTTCATAGAAATCTTTCTTCTCTTCGTAATCCAACCGACTGAGAAGCAGCGCCTGCTGAAGATCTTGTTCGTAGACGTCAGAGACGAACTGATCATCTCTCCTTTTCCAAGATTCCCAGTCCCCGCTCTGGTCTTCAGGTTGGCCTGCGTGCGGTGCGGCTGGCCTCGCCTTGGCCTGAGTTTCCGCTGCCTTCTTCTTTTTCTTGGGTTTCGGCTTGGCCGTCACGGAGTTGCGATCGCCAGCAGAGCCACTCTTGGCGGGCTGCGGTTTCTTCGCGGGTTTAGCATCTTCCGGATCCTCGCCCTCGACTTTCAGAACGGCAAATCGCGATGGCAGAATAGCGGCCATCTCACCACAATCGGGCTGCAGCTGTGCGTACCGATTTGAATCGCGACAAATTCTAGAAGTAGAAGGCTCAACGACACAAAATGCAGCACGACGCACGTGAGTGAGGAAGTCGCTTAGCGCCCACTTAATTGCAACAAAACCGCAGGCTCCTCGGGACAGGGCGCACACAACCTCGCTCGTCCAACGACCGACACACACGTCCACAAAAAACGTAACTTTGTTTTCGTCGTTTGATCTACATAGTTCATCCGTTGACTCATGAGGACCAGCTTCACTTGCCGGCCACGTTTCTTGGGTACCAGATAGCCAGTCAGGCCCATGCCACCATAAATCGCTAGTACAAAGGTGATGCGCTGATATCCCTCTTGTCCAGGAATGGATGCAGATCACGAATTCGGGAGTCCTTGGTGGGGTGGATTTTGGGAGAGGATGATTCGCACTGTTAAAAGCTGCCTACGGAAAATTCTAGGGAAAGGTTGCTTTGATTTCGAGCAGCTTGTGACCATTCTTGCCGAAGTAGAAAATGTAGTGAATTCTAGCACCGTTCACCATTCGAGTTAAAATACTTTTTCAGAAGATATGGATGCAAGGACTCGATTGGGAAAGCGTTCTCCCCGAGACATTGAAGATCGAGTGGGACAAGTGGACTGTCGAACTTCAAGACCTCAAAGACTTTAGAATCAAGAGGTATCAACTAGACAACAGCAGCCCTGATAAAAGCACTCACCAGCTGCATATATTCACGGACGCTAGCCCGTGTGCCTACGGAGTAGTGGCATACATACGAGTGGAAGACAGTACCGGAGCGGTTCGACTCCAGCAGCTGCTCGCTAAGTCTCGGGTCGCTCCAATCAAGGGTCTCACTTTACCACGCCTGGAACTCGTCGCTGCGGTTCTTGGAGCTCGACTTCTTAAGCTACTTGTGGATACTTTGCCACACACAAATATAGAATACTTCTGCTGGACCGACTCCCAAGTTTGCTTGAGTTGGATCAAGTCTACAGCCACCAAGTGGAAGCCCTTCGTTTGTAACAGGGTAATTGAGATCCAAGGGCTCACAGACCCGAGTCGCTGGAGACATTGCTCTGGAAAGACAAACCCAGCCGATTTAGTTACAAGAGGGATTTTAAGAATCAAGACCCGGCTTGACAACGTAAAAACAATTTCCAACAGTGCTAAGCCCGACGCTGTTCAACCTAACACTCATTGAACTAGTTGGCAAGCAACCAAGCAGTGTGCGACTTTCCATTTATGCTGATCACATCTGTGTGAGGACATCAGGTGTGACTCGACTTCAACTTCGCGCTCGACTTCAGAAGGTAGCATCAGTGATATCGTACCATCTACGCAAACAAGGGCTCAAAATCGCAAGCGAGAAGTGTGCAGTCAAGACTTTCACCAGAAAACCAATGTCCGCTTAAGGCATATCAATGAACGGGCAGTTGGTGTCATGCAGCCGGAGTCACAGGTTCTTGGGAGCCGTAATCGGTCGAAACCTCTCTTGGACACTCCACGTAAACTACGTGAAAAAGCGACTGACTGCCATTTGTCACTTATTCAGGTTTCTTGCGGGGAAAAGTTGGGGAATGTCTGTCGAGTCTATGTTACAGCTGTACAAGGTATTATTTACTGGTTCCTGTGGTATAGCCTACCTGTTATATCTAACACGTGCAAAACGAACCTGCGCACAATCCAAAATATTCAAGCCCAAGCGCTTAGGATATGCCTTGGTTTACCCTACTGCGCATCGACAGCTGAAACAATTGCCATTGCACAGGACTACACGATCATGACGCACATCAGCATTGAAACGATGCGTACGTACCTCAGGCAACATGCTAGGAATCCTTCCAACCACTTTGCAACCCTCGCTACTGAGAGGCCCCGCACGAAATTTAGTGCAATTGTCTGTGCACATCGTGCGTCGTTTACGTCAGGTTTTACGCCTGCTGAGAAACTGGTGTATCCTCCGTGGTGTCTGACACTTCCGCAAGTACGCATTTCAATTCCAGGAATACAGAAAAAATCAAATTTACCTGCATCAGCCCTAAAACAATTGAGCTTGAGCCTTCTTCACGAAATGTACAACAACCACGTGCACATATACATCGATGGTTCAACCACAGCGTCTGGTTCTGGTGGTGCGGTGGTTATTCCAGCTAGAGGAGTCACTCTGCGAATCAAACTGTCACATGTCACTACGTCTACGGCGACAGAACTTGAGGCTTGGCGTGGCGCCCTAGAGTACATAAAGTCCCAAAGACCGAGTAAATGGGCTGTTTTCCGACTCGAAACCAGCCCTACAGAGCATGCAGTCAATCCTTCGACGAAGTTGCCATGAACAATTAACTTACAAAGTTGTCAAGCTTGTTCAAAACGTCACAGAAACAGGCCACGAGGTCAAGTTTCAGTGGCTTCCTGGCCATTGTGGGATCAGTGGCAATGATTTCGCGGCCAACGCGGCTCGCACATTGCACCAAGAAGAGCACACCCTTTCGATTTCTTTGTCAAGGACTGACGCTGCAAAGCAACTTCGTCACCTGGCACGTAGTCTGAGTCTGCAGGAGCGGAACACCCCAAGCATAAGACAAACGAGACTATGCCAAATAAACCCTCAACTGGAACTTCGACCTCCATCCGGACTTCGTCTACGTGAAGCTTCACTTCTTTCTCGCCTTTGGTTGGGGGTTGCCTTCTCAAAAGCATATAGAACCCTCATCGGATTGACCTACAATGCGGAATGCGACGTCTGCTGCACCAAAGAAGACATCGACCATCTGATATGCCTTCGATTTGCCTCTGAAAGACAGAAGTTTTCGGACGCATTGCGAGAATTGGACGATCGCCCACTCTCTGTGTAGACGCTACTGGAATACCATCATCGCCTTTCGTCGGCTAAAAAAGCAGTCAAAGTTGTCTTGTGCTTTTCGAGGACTACAGGCCTACGTGACCACCTTTAACTTTTGTGTAGCGCCACCGCTGCATACGCACCAGCCGATTAACTGACAATTCTCCTTTTTTTGTTTTTTCTCCCTCTGTTTCTCTTCTCTTTCCTCTCTCTCTCATCTTTATGCCCTCTTCCCATTCCCCCAGCGTAGGGTAGCAAATCGGGTATGTGCCTGGTTAACCTCTCTGCCTTCCTTCTTGTTGTTTATTCCTCCCCCCCCCCTAAACTAAGAACTGGCGTCACGAGTTATGCTGCGAAGACAGAAAACTTCAGAAGCCAAATAACACGCTCATTCTTTGTATTTCGAGAGCTGGTTTAGGGGCCCCTCTTTCAGCCATTGTAGTACTTTACTGCTGTTGTTGGCGTGCAGTCATATCACTTGATCGCTTATATAACCCTATTCAATGAAGTTATACGCATTCACCAACTGCCGCAGCTGCCCCTCATCTTACGTAGCCACGTGAAGACCACCATGGTGTAGTATTACTGTACTTACGGGACGATAAATACCGTTGCTAAAACATAAGATTGCGTACAAATGGTCACCACGGGGAATTCCTCACATCGATGTGGTCGACAATAAGCCGGCATCTAGCTCATCTAGCCAAATTTACTGCGGACGTATTCCGACGCTGGGCCAAGATTAGCCCTACACTGGTGTGCTGCTTGTGGTAAACCTTCAGAAGGTTTTTTTTAGGAGGCTTGTCTCAGCGTCCTTTGAATATATAGTAGACGGCATACCTCTGATGTAACGAATTGATTCAGAAACGTATATTTTCTTCAAGTCTGACAATGACAAACACCTCAAAATGGCGCGTAAGTCTACCATGAACACTAGTAAGTAAGAACAACGCCTAAAGGAGAGCTTTTCAGGGTCCTCACTCAACTTGCGATTACGAACAACACTAAACTTCTCTGGTAATTATTGCCAAAATTGTAACATATTAAACAAATATCGTGTCTAATATATGCATGGGTATAATGCCTTCATTGCGCAGTTTTTTATTATTTGTGCTTCAACCCTGGTCCACGTTTGTAAAAACACGTGCGTCTAGCTCTTCCTCCGATAAATAAATGATACGTCCGAACAGTTGTTTCATCCCGCAGTCAGAATTGCCGGACAAACTTATCTTTCAAGTCCACGTGCGCGTCACCTGTGCTTATTACAGGCTGTCACTCAAACAAACCTCTTTTTGTCATTTTATGAGTTTTCAACCTGCCGTCATGTAATTAAGCTTCAGATTATTCTAGCCCATGAAGTTAAGGCGGGCAGTTTCCGCTCCTCTTATAATTGAAGGTGTCAGCGTACTAGATCGAAATTGATCAGCCGGAAATAACACAGTCAGTATGGCTCATAACTCCATATTAGCTCCCTATTTGTCTACTTCGTCTGCAAAATTGCATTCTTGATCTTTGATACCAGAAATACTGTGATTTTACAGTGCGTGTATGCCATTCTTCTCGGATGTAGACGCGCTGTTTCGATAATATGGGTAGAACTTTTCAGTATGAAAACCTGTTGTTACTCTGTATATTTCACTTCAATGTATACCTTCATATAACTTGTAGCTAAAATATGAATTTCTAGATGTCTGCTTCTGCCATTATTGCCGCTCATGCAGCTCTTACGATTTCCCGTCACTTTTAGCAAGCCAATATCTAGAAACTGGCATTTCTGTGTAAATAGCAAGTCAGATATGTGTTTTCCGATTAGACTGATTCTCGTCTACGGCTTGGAATGCTAACTGGCCAGAAACAATAGTTGTTCTTACTGGGTTCTGGAGATAAAGCAATGGTGCTCTATTTAATAATATAACAATATTATAAATATAAAACTATTATTCCCACTAATCATATTATTATTATCAATAGTACAGACAATATGATATTGTTATATTATTTTCATTATTATTATTAATACCTGCGGTTTTGCGTCCCAGAACCACTATATGAATATGAGTGACACAATAGTAAGGGTCTCTGAAAATTTACCATCTCTGGTGTCCTTCAACGTGTGTTGACATCGCACAGCACAGGGGTCTCAACCATTTCGCCTCCATCGAAATGCAACCGCTCCGTAATAGATCGCACCTGCGACCTTCGGGTCAAACGCAGGGCACCATAGTCAGTGATATACGGTGGCGTTCATTGCATTTGTCA